CGAACCAACCACCTTGCTAAGGACTGCTTTTACAAGAAGACAGAACCACCTAAGCCTAGGAAGGGAGGACCTCCACCTAATAAGTCACAAGTAAATATGGTGACTTCCAGTCCAGCTGAGACTGCTTTCAGGTCTGTTCTCTTCACTCCTAAAGTAAACATGACCTTTCAAGCAAATAATTGGTGGATTGACACTGGAGCTAATATTCACGTTTGCTCTAATCAATCTTTGTTTTCCACCTATCAGGTCTTAAGTAGAGGAACTGTGACAATGAGAAATAATAATATGGCTCTTGTATCTGGAATAGGTCGGATCAACCTAAAGCTGACTTCTGATAAGACTTTGATCCTGCAGGGTGTCCATCATGTACGAGACATTAGGAGAAACTTAATTAGCGGATCTTTGTTAGTGCAACAAGGCTATAAGCTTGTTTTTGAATCAAATAAAGTTGTAATAACTAAGGGGTTGAATTTCATTGGAAAAGGTTTTTTATGTGATGGTCTTTTTAAATTGAATGTTAAGAATTCTACTCTTGCATTTCCAATAGCTTTGAATATTGAACCTTCCATCACTTGGCATCAAAGATTAGGACATGTGAATTATAATTCAATTAAAAGATTGATGCATCTCAATATAATTCCAAAGCTTAATATAAAAGATGATGAAAAATGTGAAATATGTGTAGAAGCCAAACTTCCTAAGAAACCATTTAAAACTATTGATAGAGATTCTGAGATATTAGAACTCATCCATAGTGATGTTTGTGATTCAGGAAGAACAACTAGAGGGGGTAACAAATATTTTGTAACTTTTATAGACGATTGCTCTAAATATTGTTACCTCTACTTAATTAAGACCAAAGATGAAGTCATAAACAAATTCAAAATATATAAAGCAGAAGTTGAAAATCAGTTGGATAGGAAAATTAAAATACTAAGCTCAGATAGAGGTGGTGAGTACACTTCTAATGAATTAAAATAATTCTGTGAAGAGAATGGAATTATTCATGAAATAACTGCTCCATATACACCTCAATCTAATGGAGTAGCTGAGAGAAAGAATAGAACACTAATGGACATGATAAACTCAATGTTAATTAATTCTGGTGTGCCAGAAAATTTATGGGGAAAAGCTCACATGACTGCATGTCATATACTAAATAGAATTCCATTCAAGAAATCTGATAAAACCCCTTACACAATTTGGAAGAATAGAAACCCTAATTTGGATCACCTGAAAGTGTGGGGGTGCTTAGCAAAAGTTAAAATACCTGAAAATAAGAAAAAGAAAATTGGACCTAAAACTGTAGATGGAATTTTTATTGGCTATGCTTCTGATAGTAATGCAAATAGATTTTTAATAATCAACTCTGACATTAATGAGATAGCCAACAACACCATAATTGAAGCTAGGGATGCACATTACTTTGAAAATATTTTTCCTTACAAGACCAGAGTAAACAACACAGGCCCTAGCTCTAGTAATTCAGATCCTAGTTCTAATCAAGGTGAAACTAGTTCTAAACAAATTAGACCACTAGAAAGTCCAGAGGAACCTAGGAGAAGTAAAAAAACTAGAATAGAAAAGACCCATAAAGATTTCTATGCACTACTTGTAGAAGATTCTCCAATTACATTTGAAGATGCAATGAAATCAGCAGATGCTCCATTTTGGAAGGAAGCTATAAATAATGAGATACAATCTATAGTTCAAAATCATACTTGGGAACTAACTGATCTTCCTTCAGGCTGTAAAAATATACGATGTAAATGGGTATTTAAGAAGAAACTCAGACCAGATGGAACAATAGATAAATATAAGGCCAGATTAGTAGCTAAAGGATATACCCAAAAATCTGGTATTGATTATTTTGATGTCTATTCTCCAGTAGCTAGGATTACTACCATTAGAGTCCTCATAGCTCTAGCATCCATTCACAAATTAATAATACATCAAATGGATGTTAAAACTGCATTTTTAAATGGAGACTTAGATGAAGAAATTTATATGGATCAACCTGAGGGATTTATAGCTTCTGGACAAGAAAAGAAAGTATGCAAGCTTATTAGATCACTATATGGTCTCAAACAAGCCCCAAAACAATGGCATATGAAATTTGATGAAATTATACTATCTTATGGATTTGTAATTAATCAAACAGATGAGTGTGTATATCATAAAATAGATAAAAACAACAAAATTGTGATATTATGCCTATATGTTGATGACATTCTTATTTTTGGTTCTGACATACAAATCATAAATGATATCAAACACTTTTTATCACAAAATTTTGACATGAAAGATTTAGGTCAAGCTGACCTAATTCTTAATACTAAAATCATGAAAAATGAGAATGGATATGTGCTATCACAATCACACTACATAGAGAAAATCCTTAAGAATTTTTATGATCCAAACTGTCAACCTGTTTCCACTCCATATGATCCTAATGTACATCTAAAGAAAAATACAGGTCATCCTCAATTACAAAGAGAATATGCACAAATAATTGGATCACTAGGATTCCTAACAAGCTACACCAGACCTGACATTGCTTATGCAGTAAATAGACTTAGTAGATATACATCAAATCCTGATAAGAGTCACTGGGATGCTTTAGAAAGAATTTTGAGATACCTAAAAGGAACCATAAATTATGGTTTACACTATAAAGGTTATTCAGATGCAAATTGGATTAGTGACTTAGTAGATGTAAAATCCACCACAGGATTTGTGTTCCTTTTAGGAGGAGGAGCTGTGTCCTGGAAATCTACTAAACAAACTGTAATGGCTAGAAGCACAATGGAATCAGAAATGATAGCTCTTGATACTACTAGTATAGAAGCTGAATGGTTGAAAGATTTACTAACTGAAATTCCACTAATGCAAAAACCATTACCAGTCATTTCTATTCATTGTGATTGCAGGTCAGCGATTGACAAATGTCATCAAGAGAATGCAAATGTGAAGATGAATCGACACTTGAAAGTGCGACACAAATCCTTGAGATATAAGATGAAAAATCATATAATAACCTTAGACTTTGTAAGATCAGAGAAAAATCTTGCAGATCACTTAACTAAAGGCTTATCTAGGGCAGTGGTCCTAGAATCATTGAGGGGGATGGGGTTAAGCCCATAAGAAAAATCACTGTAGTGGCAACCCAACCTCGCAGAGGTTCAATGGGTAGAAACAAACTGAATGAGTGATTAATTGTGAGGAGCACTGAATTTATTTGCTCCCATCCCTAGGGTGATCAGTGCTCATAAAAAGCAAGTGATAGGTTGAGTCTAACTCTTAATGAATCCAAGACCCATGAGGCAGGATGCTTACTTGCTCGCATCCTTATTAGGATTCACCTATATGTATAGTTGTGAGGCCGCGACTATGGGATCAGGGCTGCTCCCTAATAACACACATGAAAGATACCTGCACAAGGCCGATAATAGCGCAACTCGTTTAGAATTCTTTAAAACTGTACTGTGTGCTTTCTGTATAAATCCGATAAATGGGACTGGTTCAAGGCGAAGTCCACCAAGCTCTCACGGATCTATACAATTGTCACTAAGTGAAGGTTCAAACCGAAAGGTACCTCCACCTATTACATAGTATAAGGGAACCAACAATCTTATTTATTTGTTTTTATTTTACTTTTATTTCTGAATTATTTTAAGTTTTAAGTTATGTGGGGGATTGTTGGAGTTGTAACTTAAAACTTGGGTTTGTAGAGGAAAAGAGAAAAACTTTAGTCCCATATTGAAAAAGAGATGGGAAGATAGGCTCTTTATAAGCCTTCCCTTTCTCTCCTATGTCTAGAAGAAAACAAATGTTATGCTCCACACCACACACGCGCGCGCTGGCCGGGCCGGGCTAGGGCTCGGGTTCGGGTCGAGTCGGGTGGCGCGCGCCCACGACCTACGGACACGAATGCAGCTCCGGATTAATGGGCCCTTAATCTGCTATATTTTTATTTTTATTTTTGCTAATTTAAAACCATGATTAACATTTATAACATGATTAAAAACGTGATTCATTTTTGTAACAGAAATATTTTGTAACGGTAAAAATTTATTAGTGTGATTAAAAACGTGATAAATATTTTGTGAATTTATTATGTAACGGAAATGTTTTGATTTTATAACGACTAAGTTTTATTAACGTGATTAAAAACGTATTAACTGCGGGTTTATGTATAACGGCTGTTTAATAACGACTAAGTTTTATTAACGTGATTAAAAACGTATTAACTGCGGGTTTATGTATAACGGCTGTTTAATCCTATAAAAGGACCAAAACCCGAATAGTTTTACAGTGAAAAAAAACAACAGATCTCTTTTCAAATAATTTTCTGCTTCCGCTGGTTTCCTGAAAGTTGAGGAGAATTCGCAAAACCTTCTTGAAGCTCGTGCCGACGAGAAGGAGGTCGCCTGACCGAGGGTCGTTGTATATCCAGGAACTTTTGCCGCGTAGCCCTGTACGAGAGGGGGCAATTAGATTCTTGGGACAGTGCTTGCACGTCTCGACCATCAGGCCGTATTTCTAACATTTATTTACTTTCATTTGAATTTCATTTCTGAGCTATAACAGTTATCTGTTTTTATCTAATTTCAATTAACAGTTTAAAACTTAATTCGTGTTAATCTTTGTCTAAACAGCTTATATTTCCAACAATCTCTACTCATGATCAGCTTGCTGACATTCTCACCAAGCCGCTTCCGACTCCGCACTTTGATTCTCTACGGTCCAAGCTACAAGTTGTTCCTCGCCTTTCGCTTGTGGGGGAGTATTGAGATTAATGTAAAACTATATGTACTTAATTGCAAAGTTACCTTTGTATATATATAGGACCTTTTGTAACTTCGGTGATATACAACAGAGAGATTATAACTTCAATTCTGTGTCTAACTCTAAAGTTGTGATGAGAGTTAAAATTATATTTTTATATTCTGACAAAAGAAGAAGAAGCAAGAGAACGAAAGAAAGAAAGAAGAACTCACCGTGGCCATTGCTCCTCGAAGGCAACGGCAGAGCACCATAACGCGAACCTCCACTGCGGTGAGGTTACCCCACCTCTCCTCGTCGTCTCCCAGCGCCCGGAGACCGCCGCCATTACTTGCGCGCGAGCGAGCGCGGCAGCCCGGCGGCGCGCATTCTGCGCTCTCTTTGATGGCGGAGCCCTCGCCGCCCACCGACGACCCGAGCGGCGGTGCATCGCTGGAGACAAACTTTCCCCTAAAAGGGTAAAAGCCACAGGTTTGATGATGGAAGCAAAAAAAAAAGAGAAGCTTGTTGAGGAAGAGTGAAGGGGTATGGGGGGCCCAGGGGTCGGCGTTCGCAACGGAGGCGAGCCGAAGTTGGGAGCAATCGAGTGGAGTTTTTAGGGGCGGTGGCCGTGGGGGCAGTCGGGTCTCGTGCCGCTCTGCTCGTGGTCCGTCATGAAGGACCACGGCTTTGGACCAACGACGAAACGATGACGTGGCAATGTTGTGTTGGAAATATTGGTGGGTGAGGGTTCAGGAACGGGTGCTTCTCTATTTGGCACGAGAGAGATTATTAGTGTTTGGATATGGGTGAGAAAAGAACTGCAGGCGGGAGAATCAACTTTAATTTGTCGAGTTATCTATGAAAATTTAGTTTAGTTTAGTACGGCCCAGACCAATGTGACTAGCAGGGCCCAATGGGGTGTAAATGGCCCATCTGCGAACGCGGAATAAAAAAAAGGGAAAAATCTCTTTTAACCCAAAGTTTTACCCCTAATTATTTAAAAACTCATCCACTTTACTAAATACCAATAGACCCACTGTATCTCATCTCACTTATTTTTAAACCCAACATGTATAATACACCCATTTTTTGTACTGTATTTACCCAACTGACTAAAAATTCCTAAACTACCACATCCCCAAATATAACTCATCCCCTTTCCTCTCTAATACTTGAAAGCCCCTAGATCATCGATTTGGAGCGACGACGGCAGCTGCACGGGTTGTAGAGAAGGCGACGACGGCTGACGGCGGTGAGCGACGACGGACGGAGGCTGCACGGGTCTGAAAGCGGAGGACATTTGGAGCGACGACGGACGGCGGCTGCACGGGTCTGAAAGCGGGTAACACACGAATCTTCCCCTTTTCCTCTCTAATACTTGAAATTAAGCCCCTAGATCATCGATTTTCATCGCAAGTTCCTCGTATCACTAAGTGATTTTATTTTTCGATTGAGGTTGTAGAGAAGGCGACGGAGAGAGTTAGGGCTTGGATTAATCGGTGTTGTCTGTAGCGAGAGATATTGGAGTTGGGAGAGATTGAAAGGTTTTCCTTGCAAGTGTGATTAACCTCTTTTTTTAAATTAATTTATGAAAATGTATGATTTCTTGACCTAATTATGTTGATATTTGGTATAATTTAGGTCATCGTGGGACTGTGGATTGTTTCGTACATTGGAAGTTCGTTTTGTATCTTCACTCTTATTTACATCGGTGAGTTCTAATAATTTATCCATTGTTTGGCTGACCTAATTAAAGTTCCAAAAGAAGAACATTTTCTTTTGATCGAAATTAAGCCCCTTGTTGTAGTTTTGATCACATGCAACTTGCACGTATAAATTGTTGAAAGGGCCCGAAAGATAAGAATGTACTTATATCACAGTAATCTCTCGAACATCTAAGGTTTAACACCTATGATAGCTTGGTGTTGAAATCATTATTTATAAAAGGATTCCAACCTGCCGCTGGGATATTCATAATTATATTGTATTTTTTGAAATATTTGTCAATAGGTTGTCAAAGATGTCAAGCAGAAGTAAATCGAGGGATTCTTCCCAATCGACGTCTAAGGCTACTAAGTAAGTAAATTTTAATTTATATGAAATTATTGTTATGTTAATAATTTCTTATGTTTTTACTTGTAAATGAAATTGAATCTGAAGATTTGGATCTCTAGATCCCTAGATACGTCTGATACATACGAATGATAAATAAGAGCATCAGGAGAAAACTTTAACATAACTAGTGTTCTGCTACAATAGTTGACAGCTTATAGCTTTCTTGTATAATTGATACTGTAGACTTCAATTCTCAGCAAATTTGTCATTCTTGCTTGGGTTAATTTGTTGTTTCATTACCTTTTCATGCTAAATATACCCTATAATACCAATTTCCAGTTAAGTCTGACCATGCATTACCTTCTTCTTTTCTTAATGCAGTTCTTAATGCTTTATCACTTTGCTTTACAATCTATTAATTTTTGCATTTATAAGGGCTATTTGTTTTGATTGATATATTCTTCTTTTTGTAGGAAAAATGTTGCAGAGTTAAGATTACCTTCAAATATTGGCGTATATCGTGATTTGGTGAATAATCGTCTAAGGCCTTTGCTAAATAATAATCATTATGAAGCCCTCCATCAAACCCCTTTTTCCATTTCATTCATATACCGGCTATACCTAATGAACAAGTTGCAGTTGATTGCTTGCTTCATGCATTTAATCCAGAGCATAGCTCATTCAGGATTGGGGGAAATGATATTGTGTTCAGTGTTCTAGATGTGCATGAAATAACCGGGTTGCCGAAGACTGGAAATAGGGTTGTAATGGATGGTCGAGCGCCTAATACTATATATACTGCACATGTGTATTGTAAAAAGACCCAAACAGAGAAGGAGGAGGAGAAGAAGGCCAGTAAGAGGAAGAAGAGGAAAGTCAACAAGAAGGATGAAAATAAAGATAAGAAGAAAGTGTGGGCCACACGCAAAAGGATGGCGGATTTGATTGTGGAGTTGGCAGACTCCGACCACATAGCATGTGTGAAATTACTTGTGGCTTTTATTATTGGATTTGTATTATGCCCTCAGCCCTCTAACTCATGTCCATTATGGGCATTTAGATATGCGGATAATTTACTTGCTCTTCGTTCTTATAATTGGGCTGGTGTTGTGTTTGATCTACTACATAAGGAGATGAGTAAGGCAAAGTTGTCCATCACAAAGAGAGCCGTAGGAGAGAGGTCATGAGCCGGATACATGGGCGAGTTTGCCTCAGTATTGGTGGTGAGTTTTAATAAAATTATATAATTTTATTTGCATATGTTCTACTAGTTGTAACTAAATTTGTTTTTTTTTAGGTTTGGTTTTTATGAACTAGTGGGGGAGCTCAAGTGTGAAATAAAAGAGGATTTCTTGCATCCCATTTTTATTGAGAGGAAGTCTCGATCATTACGGCGAAAAGCAATGATGAGGATAATTGAAAACCCAAAGTGTATTAGGAATTTCACTAGTCAACCCACCATATCATCCATTCCTAGTGCATCACGTCATCAACCGGTATGTACACTTCATATTCTCCATTGTTGTCTTGTTGCTATCAATTTATTATATCTTTCTCGAATGCTAACCCGTTCATTGGTTGTATTTGTAGGCGATGACATTACTTCAAGTACGTGAGTTGCTTGCCAAAAATAGAGAGGAGTATGACGAGCTTATTGAGTTAGAGAAAAAGTTGATTAGCGGCGGTAATTGTGGCAATGAATCTGAAGATGAAACTGAAGGGGAAGAACAAGAACAAGATGATGGGGAGGACGAGGAGGATGGTGATGATCCAAGTGATGGGGAGGATGGTGATGATCCAAATGATGAGGAGGATGGTGGTGATACAAATGATGGGGAGGATGATGATGACAGTGATACTAATGTTGGGGGGAAAGTTGTTGAGGATGATGAGGATAATACAGGGGAACAAGGAGAACAAAGTCATGAAGAGATGGGTAAAGATGAAGAAAGGAGTGGGAAAAAAAGTGGTGGCTCTAAATACAAGAGGAAGGAAAAACAACCAGAGATGATTGCGGAAGAGCTCATTGAAGATGATGACTTCTTACCTATATCTTTTTCAAGGACATCAGCAAGGGACATCAAAGATAGGACCCCATCAATTAAACGGGTCGTTAGAGATAGGAAACATGTACCCGCACGTGCAAGACGTTCACCTTATACACAGTTGCGAGGCCGAGGCCGTCATGAGAAGAAGAAGGAGATAATTAATGTTTCTCAATTGCAAACGCCGGGGTGTGATGAAAAGAATGAAGTGATTAATGTTTCCCAGTTGCAAACGCCGGAGAAGAGAAGGAATGTCAATAGCGGGACTGATTTTATCCCTAAGAAATGCGATTACCCGGCGAAGGGAAAGTTAAATGAAAGTGAGAGGAAAGTCCTTGATGAGTTTTGCAAGAAGAGAATGAACAGGTATAATTTATCCCACACATGCGATTTTGCTTTATAAATTTCGTTTTATGTTGCGCTTCCTTTCATATTACATTTATTTAACTTGTGTATGTTTCATTTGTCATAGAGATGAATTTGTTTGGCAATCTGTTACCCGGTTAGATGTATATCATCTTCTTATTGGAAGCGCAATTTTCGATAGTGTAAGTTCCCAAGTTAACAATGTTTAATAGTTTTGTGTGTATTTTCATATTTTAGTTGTGATCATTCTATTATGAATAATTTTCAGTTAGTCGATGGTATGATAGAGAGATTTAAGATGAAGATTGAAACGGACGCATGTTCTAAACACGTACACATCACAGGATCATTCTTTGCCGTGAGTATTAGGAAAATTTACTATCATTTAAATTATTTTTTGTTAAATATTATGGTCATGTTTTAACAGAGAGCGTTACTACAAGATAATCCCGGCCATTGGGCAAGACAACTCAAGGGTCGACAGCTTCCACGTGCACGCTTCGAAGAATGCGAGAAGATTATTTTTCCTATTCTTAGCAGTAGTCATTGGCATTTGTTGGAATTGATTAAGTCTGAGAATTTTTTTATCACTATTCATCACTCACATACATTAAATATCTTAATGATGCCAAGATGTTCATGAACAATTTCTTAGCTTGCATAAAGGATGAATGGAAAATAGAAAATATGGATGAGTATAGTATAGAAACCCGACAGGTTCCTCAACAGGATGGGTATGACTATAACTTAAAATGTATTACTGTGATTGATTTTCCCAACATATTATTATTTTATCATGTAATCATTGATTGCGGCATTTGTTTGTGCAGGAGCTTAGATTATGGTATTTTCATGATGAGATACATATATTCCATCATCAACAACACACCAACATTCATTCATCAGGATGATTGTGAACTTCTACGAGCAAAGATTGCTATTGCCTTTATCTCGGAGGAAGCAGAAAATCTGCTAGAATATGCTTTTACTCAGGGAGTAGACTCTGAATATACATGTCTTGGATGTGATGAATGTTGAAGTTGCACAGGAACATAAAGTACTTGGCTGATTTGGATTTTGTGTTTATTGTGTAGCTTAAATCTGTACAGGAGCATAAAGTACTTGGCTGATTTGGATTTTGTGTTTATTGTGTAGCTTAAATCTATGCAGGAGTATATGGTGTTGATTTTTGTAGTGGTGTTATGTATTTGTTGTTTTATGTTGTAATTATGTTAAATACATGTCTTGTTTTTGTAGTTGTAACTGAAAATTTATGATTGTCCTCACTTTCACAGGTTCCACCAGATTTTATATTCCAGATTTTAAAATCATGTGAATTTGTTGTGTATTTGTTGTGAATGTTGAAGTTGTGAATGTTGAAGTTGTGCCTTATTGGACGAGTGGGATCATTACAATGGAGATGTCCTCACTTTCACAGGTTCCACCAGTTGTGAATGTTGAAGTTGTGCCTTATGGATAATTGAATGGGTGTTAGTGGTATCTTCTGCTGCCTGGCAACTCTTTGCTCAGAACAAAACTCTGCAGTCCTGGTTGCTATATTTCATGAGTAGTGTAGTCTGCTATTTTCTCAGTGAACCTCTTGGAGTTGTTAGGAAATTCAAGTGAAATTTTACAGAATTAAAGACAATGTTGTTTTACTCTTTTAAGAAAATATATGGATTGCAACTTTTAGCATTTGTAACATGTTAGAATCTCTCCGGCAGTTCTGTATTCACGAGACATGATGATCCCTTTGTTTTGCTTCGTCTTAAAGACGAAACCTCTCGATGACCTACGTGACGTGTTTATTGACCAATCATCCACCGCGACGGGGGGTCCTCGCGCAATTTTGAAGCTTCTGGGCAAAGTATAGCACCTTATGGGAAAGTATAGCACCTTTTGGCCAAAGTATAGCACTATATTACAAAGTATAGCACTTTATTGGGAAAGTATAGCACCTTATTGGCAAAGTATAGTACCTTATGCTTTCTGCAAATTCTGCACCTTAAGTGTCTTAAATCAAATCAGTTTTTTTCGCCGCGATGAAACCACTCGACGACCTACGTCACGTGTTATTGACCAATCATCCACCGCGACGGGGGGTCCTCGCGCAATTTTGAAGCTTCTGGGCAAAGTATAGCACCTTATGGGAAATTATAGCACCTTTTGGCCAAAGTATAGCACTATATTGCAAAGTATAGCACTTTATTGGAAAAGTATAGCACCTTATTGGCAAAGTATAGCACCTTATGCTTGCTGGAAATTCTGCAGGTTAAGAGCCTAAAATCAAATCAGTTTTTTTCGCCGCGACGAAACCACTCGACGACCTACGTCACGTGTTATTGGCCAATCATCCACCGCGACGGGGGGTCCTCACGTAATTTTGAAGCTTCTGGGCAAAGTATAGCACCTTATGGGAAAGTATAGCACCTTTTGGCCAAACTATAGCACTATATTGCAAAGTATAGCACTTTATTGACAAAGTATAGCACCTTATTGGCAAAGTATAGCACCTTATGCTTGCTGGAAATTCTGCAGCTTAAGAGCCTAAAATCAAATCAGTTTTTTTCGCCGCGATGAAACCACTCGACCACCTACGTCACGTGTTATTGACCAATCATCCACCGCGACGGGGGGTCCTTGCATAATTTTGAAGCTTCTGGGCAAAGTATAGCACCTTATGGGAAAGTATTGCACCTTTTGGCCAAAGTATAGCACTATATTGCAAAGTATAGCACTTTATTGGAAAAGTATAGCACCTTATTGGCAAAGTATAGCACCTTATGCTTGCTGGAAATTCTGCAGCTTAAGAGCCTAAAATCAAATCAGTTTTTTTTGCCGCGACGAAACCACTCGACGACCTACGTCACGTGTTATTGACCAATCATCCACCGCGACGGGGGGTCCTCGCGCAATTTTGAAGCTTCTGGGCAAAGTATAGCACCTTATGGGAAAGTATAGCACCTTTTGGTCAAAGTATAGCACTATATTGCAAAGTATAGTACTTTATTGACAAAATATAGCACCTTATTGGCAAAGTATAGCACCTTATGCTTGCTGGAAATTCTGCAGCTTAAGAGCCTAAAATTTTTCGCCTCGACGACCTAGATGATGTGTTTATTGACCAATCATCCACCGCGACGGGGGGTCCTCGTGCAATTTTGAAGCTTCTGGGCAAAATATAGCACCTTATGGTAAAGTATAGCACCTTTTGGCCAAAGTATAGCACTATATTGTAAAGTATAGCACTTTATTGGAAAAGTATAGCACCTTATTGGCAAAGTATAGCACCTTATGTTTGCTGGAAATTCTGCAGCTTAAGTGCCTAAAGTCAAATCAGTTTTTTTTCGCCGCGACGAAACCACTCGACGACCTACGTCACGTGTTATTGACCAATCATCCACCGCGACGGGGGGTCCTCGCGCAATTTTGAAGCTTCTGGGCAAAGTATAGCACCTTATGGGAAAGTATAGCACCTTTTGGCCAAAGTATAGTATTATATTGCAAAGTATAACACTTTATTGACAAAGTATAGCACCTTATTAGCAAAGTATAGCACCTTATGCTTGCTGGAAATTCTGCAGCTTAAGAGCCTAAAATCAAATCAGTTTTTTTCGCCGCGACGAAACCACTCGACGACCTACGTCACGTGTTATTGACCAATCATCCACCACGACGAGGGGTCCTCGCGCAATTTTGAAGCTTCTAGGCAAAGTATAGCACCTTATGGGAAAGTATAGCATCTTTTGGCCAAAGTATAGCACTATATTACAAAGTATAGCACTTTATTGACAAAGTATAGCACCTTATTGGCAAAGTATAGCACCTTATACTTTCTGGAAATTCTGCAGCTTAAGTGCCTAAAATCAAATCAGTTTTTTTCGCCGTGATGAAACCACTCGACGACCTACGTCACGTGTTTATTGACCAATCATCCACCGCAATGCAAATACTTGATAAGATAACATCAAAGGTTTTGAGTAATGTATACCAACCAGATATAACAATAACACTAACTAAAATAACATTAAAACTAACTGAAGTAGTTACACAAAATTTACAATAATCAAAATAGTTTGTTTTTTGATCTTCACCACCAAAACGTAATCAACCTATAATAGGTCCATGAAGATCACAATCAAACTGATTTGAAAATATTCAAAAGCATGATATTTCAATCAGCTATTGGTTGGTTACATGTTCGTCGATTGTGACCGAACTCCTTACATCGGATACACTTCAACATTCTAGAAGGATTTAGTCCAGAAGGGATCTGCTTTGTTTTTGGCCTTCCTCTACGAATCGAGGTTAATGGAGGTCTAATCTCCATATTCTCATCCGTTATAATTGGCTTCTCATCATCAGGAATTGGATATATGGGAAAGGAGTAACACTTGCGGTACACCTCCGTGCTGAAATAGTCAGAAATATATGGATACAATAGCTGATCTTTGTGCCTGATTACGGCGGCCGCATGCTTGCAAGGTAGTCCAAGAACTTGCCATTGGCGACAAGTACACGTGCGGTACTCCAAATTCACTCTAACAGATGGGGAATCATATACTTCATACAGAATTGATGTAGAAGGATTAACATGAAGACAACGTGCACCCTCGTTGATCAGGACAAGATGCTCCTCTACACTAGGAACAAGTGGTGTAGTCCATTTGTTGGATTCCTCATGTCTATCGTAGCTCATTTTCATCATCTTCACCCGGATGTGATCAACCAACTGCGCTATCGGTAAAAATCGGGCTTCCTTAATCCATGCGTTGAAGGACTCAGCTAGATTTGAGGTTAACCACCCATACCTGCAACCATGTTATAGCTATAGGATTATTCAAATGTTATACATGTTCAAACACACATATCAGAGAGTTCAATCACAAAGACCAAAAATATGTAAAAATGGTGACCTCTTTCTAGGAAAATAACAATTAGCCCAGTTCTGTGGGCTCATATTCAGCATTTCAATGAAAGCAATAGATGACTTATTCTGGAGCTCGTTGCATTCATTATGATAAGCATGCATTGTGTAGGCATAGGCAGCTCTCTTCATAATTTGAACACAATCATCCCTAAGTGGTGCTGGTAACCTTTTCTTTGACAAGTTGTTCTTATAATTGGCCATTAAATGGCGGATGCAATAACTGTGATATGAACAAGGGAAGCAATTCTTGACGGAATTTTGAAGTCCTTTGTCTCGATCAGAGATTATAACCAGCTCATCATTCGGAGTATATGGATCATCTGAATTGTACAATACGTCACGAATGCATTCAAGGAACCACTCCCAATTGCTCTCATTCTCGGTTCCACAAATACAAAGAGCGACAGGAAACATTCCTCCATCTCCATTCAAAGCAGTAGCAGCAAGTAGAGTTCCCTTGTACCTATCAAAAAGATGGGTGCCATCCAAGAATAAAATTGGTCTACATCCCTCGACAAAACCCTTCCAACAAGCATAATATGAGATAAAAAATCTAGTAAATCTGCCATCTTCATGTTCTAGATGGACGATTGATCCTGGGTTAGTTTCCATAACTTTATCCTTGTACCATCTAAGTTGTTCATATGAATGTTTTGCATACCCATATAACTCCTGTTGAGCAAGCTCTTTCCCACACCAAGCTCTTCCATAGGGGATATCAACGCCAAACTCTCTCAGTTCTTTTTAAGATCAATTGCGCGGTAGGTGGGTTGTTCTTTTAGTATGGATTTCACAATATTTGCAACCCACTTACGAGATGCCCGTGGATGTCCCTTCTCTCCTATGCCTCCTCCGAGACAACTATGTGCACGACCAATTTTCTTCACGTAAAACCGTTTGCAGTCTGTACGATGGTTACAACGACGGTTACAATGGACCATCCATTCACAATCAGCACCTTTGCATTTTACTATCAATCTTCTAGGTTCAGTTTTCAAATAAGCAAAGTTAAAACCCGAGAGCAATTGAGTAATTTCCAAGACTTTGCCTTAGATGTTCAACATCATTAAATTCTTGTCCGACACTTCTAATGGCATGATACCATGAAATAGGAATCTGAATACTAGATCTCTCAACTTCACGTAATGCATTTTGTGAATTGGATGGATTATGCGTCGAGGATGCATGTTGTTCCGAAAGAGATATGGTAGGATTCCTGCAAACATAAAGCAGTTACCTTATAAGACTAGCAATTAGAAACATTAATGAAAATTCTTATCTAGTACTACAGCTAATTGCCGACATATTATATCGTCATAATTTTTCTTTGAACTACAGAGAAATTAAATAAACATGGATTAATTTTGTGAAATATGGACCTCATAATGTACAATAAGTTCTTACCTTATGTGAATGGTGTTTTCCTCTAGACCAAATAATGTATCTCGATCTATGTCAACATGCATCTTAACTATCTTCTTCTTGCAACTTAGATGTACATCGAACATTGTTGACAAATCGACGTCATCATGGACACGTACAAACAATTCTTCTGTATATGGGACTTCATAAGTCAGCTTCACTGGGCTTGAAAAAAAAGCAATTCTACTTTGCACCTCGGCCACTAAATTACTGAAAGTCCCCTTGATATTCATTGGAATCAAATGATTGTTTCCTCTAAAGTCCATAATTGCACAATATAGCTCTTCTTCCATTACTGAAATTCATAAAAAATAAAATAAGTGGGGAACTAACTAACAATCAAATATTACCAAACAAACACAAGTCTAACATGCATTTTCTTATTGTATACGATATAATTCAACATCGGCATTCAATATGCAATTCTCTATGTTTCTATACAATATAATTCAATATTCATTCCTAAATATTCAAAGACCAGATTTTTCTACATTCTATAGAAATGAGGAACAAATGATTTTTATTTTGTGAATCAAATAAAGAAAATATAGAACGGGTACATTGCTTAGCTTTTCATAGCACTTTTTAAAGAAAGTATAGCACTTTCCAAACTCTCACTACAAATGATGTAATCAACAGAATTAGGGTTTTCTCATGAGAAAATAGTAGTCTCAACATGATAAAGGTTTTCTCATTTAAAAATTTAGACATTTCAACAAATCAAGATATAAAGATGGGATCTCAATCACTTTATAGTTACCTTTAAATGTCTTCTTTTACTACAAGAAACGAACATGAGATCTCAACCACTGATCTGATGAAGGATTAATGTCTTCTATGAAGAGAAATATTAATGGAGGAGAGAGATTTCTCAAGAAGAGAGGAGAAATTAATGGAGGAGAGAGCGAATGAGAGAGTAATTGAAGATGAGGACCAAATTGGGGGTTTGTGAAGAGTGAGTGTAGCCCACCCTTTTCTCCCGCCATTGTCGCCATTAATACCTACTGTTGACGGTGATGAGAAGAAGAGAGAAAGGGCAAAGTCGGGTTTCTCTATTTTGGGGGAAATATAGTATAGAGATAGAGAGGTATAATGAGCATTGGGTTTAAAACTAAGCCAAATGGGTATAATGGGTTTATTGGTGTTCAGTAAAGTGGATGGGTTTTAAAATAATTGAGGGTAAAACTTTGGGTTAAAAGAGGATTTTCCCTAAAAAAAATCAGGAGACCCTGCACAAGCAAAACGATAATTAATAATAATAGCGCAAATATATAACCAGGCCTGTTGGGGAATTTAAGGAAAAAAGCATTGACTCGTTTTACTTAGGTTAGAAAGTGTTGCTTAAACTTGTTCAAAGACAAATAAAATTGAAATTAACAAGAAAGGTAATGTACTACCCTATCAACTCAAAGATAAAAATGTAGAGACGGAGAATAAATTGTTGGTTGAAATTTCGTTATGCTTGAATTAGAATCTTAAAGGTCGATTATGTGTAATATAATAGAAACTATCATATGTAGTTTGACCCCTGCAAGTGGTTTGAGACCTGGCGCATTGACTCAAAAGGTCAATAGTCGATTCATGTCTATGACATGTGTGGTACTAAGCCAAGATTATTCACACCAAAAAAAGATACAAAGTTTTCTCAATGATAAAAATGAAAAAATTCTGCATGCAAAAGATGAACGAATTCGGATAAGACTTCGTATATTAAAGTTTTTCCATAAAGTCTCAGTCACATTGTCTTCCACAATGTAAACACAAAAATAAAATATAGCTAATACAAAGTTTTTTAATATAACTTTGATTTGAAAATAAAAATTGGAAAAGAAAACACGATGTATCATTTGTTAGTTATCAACTTTCATTTTAGTTATGAATGACATGTCTTTTTTTATAGGACAAGTGTTCTTTAAACCCAAAATTTTGGAGCAAAAGAAGCCATTTGATCTGATACTATATATAAAGAGTCTCTCGGAGTGCTTTTTGAATTTTCTCTAAGAGCTATCTATTGGGATTTGTAAGGATGGTTGGTAGGCTTGCTCCCTACTTAGAGCAAGTCTAGCAAGCTCTCGGTTAGGAGTCCTAGTCAGCAAGCTCTCAAGAGCTATTAACCATTTTAGAATAAAAAATTATAAAAATAAGTCTTGGGAGGCCCTCCTTATTTTATGGAGCTCCAACAAGCTCCTAGTTAGGAGCTCCAACAATATCAAAAAAAACCCTCTTCTATTTTGATTTTTTTACACATTACTTTTAATTATATTTAAACCTCTTTTGTTTTATTTCTAACCGTTGGATACGGTCTTCGAGGGAGCGCATACGGTCTTCGAGGTAATCCACGGTCTTTGAGGGAACGCACACAGTCTTCGAGGTAGCCCGCGGTCTTCGAGGTTGGGCACGAAGTTCGAGGTATCACAAACTTTGACCGTCAACCGATTGATTCCTATAAAATTCGATGCCTTCTCACCTCAACCTATCGTCTCCCAGAACAAAATGTCTAGCTCATCTAGCTCTAGCGATGATGAAATAGTGAAGATGTTCTTTCTTATGGGAGCTGTTGTCGTCGAGGAAGAAGAACAAGAGAAAGGTTCAACTTCAGTTCAACACGTTCTTTCTTATGGGAGCTGTTGTCGTCGAGGAAGAAGAACAAGAGAAAGGTTCAACTTCAGTTCAACACAAAAGACGTATCAGGAGCTGTTGTCGTCGAGGAAGAAGAACAAGAGAAAGGTTCAACTTCAGTTCAACACAAAAGACGTATCATGCTCCATCGAAACCGATTGGAAGGCCACAATCGGTTGTTCCAAGATTATTTTGCTGACGTACCAACCTATCCTCTTTATTATTTTTGTTAAAGATTCAGAATGACGCGTTCATTATTCCTTCGAATCCATGACACAATTGTCGAACATGACAAGTACTTCGTCCAAAAGAGGAATGGTGCTGGACAGTCGGGACTATCTAGCCTTCAAAAGATTACTGCAGCTATGCGGATGCTCACATATGGAGCATCCACTGACGTCATTGACGACTACGTTCGGATCGATAAAAGTACATCGCTTGAGAGCGTGAAGAGGTTCATTCGATCGATTATCAACATCTTTGGGGGGAATACATTCGGTCACCGACTAATAAAGACGTTGCACGCCTGCTTGAGGAAGGTTCACAATGAGGTTTTCCTGGTATGCTTGGGAGCATCGACTGCATGTACTGGACATGGAAGAATTGTCCAACCGCCTGTTAAGGTATGTATACTGGGCATTTTCATGAACCTACAACTATTTTGGAGGCTGTAGCTAGCAAATATCTTTGGATATGGCATGCCTTATTTAGATTGTCGGGGTCTCACAATGATCTTAATGTTCTACATTGTTCAACGGTTTTCGCACAACTTGCGGAGGGAAGAGCTTCACCGTGCAACTATATTGTTAATGGCCACGAGTACAATATGGGATACTATCTCACCAACGGGATTTACCCAGAGTGGTCCACATTAGTGAAGACTATTCCAGCACTGCGAGGAAACAAGCATAAGTACTTTGCTCAATAACAAGAGAGCGCAAGAAAAGATGTTGAGCGAGCTTTTGCCGTATTGCAAGCTCGATTTGCGATTGTTCGTGGACCAGGACGTTTCTGGCAACCTAGTGTGTTGAAAGACATCATGACAGCTTGCATCATAATGCATATATAACATGATTGTTGAAGATGAACGAGATTGTCAATTGGACAACAACTTTGACTTTAATGATTCGATACCAGTCATTGAACCTTCTCATGTGCGGACGGTGCCTCTAATTGAGTTCATCCAAAATCATCATCGGATCAAGAACACGCAAACACATAAATTACTAAAGAATGATTTGATCAGGCATCTGTGGCAGCTCAAATGATCCATCGCCGAGGATTAAGTTTCTTTATGTCTAATGTAATTTCAGCAAAGAAGTTCGAGTTGTTGTACTACGCCAATTTCTTTTTCAATAAAGTAGTTGTTTTCATTAAATGCCAAATTTAACAAAATCAAGTAGAATCATAAATCTAATACAAGATAATTAGGAAGAACTAATTAGGATGTGATGCGAGTACAATCATAAATCTAATACAAGATAATATATGATAATCGGGAAGAATCCTTAGACATCCACCTCTCCAATATCTCTGCCTGACGCATCTCAAAGTATTGTCGTTGAACTGAATTGAGTGTTGAGAGATCCATCTTCATGATATCGTCATCTTGTTTCTTCTGTTTTAGCTATAGTTTTTGATTGGTGGTTTGCTTCATCCACGCGAAAGCCTCTCCCATGATGGACTTAGCGGACTCAGAGTTTTGATTGGTGGTTTGCTTCATCCACGCGAAAGCCTCTCCCATGATGGACTTAGCGGACTCAGAGTTTTTCACATTTTGTTTCCTCTTGAGCTTTGCCGCTTTCCTCCCTTCAGGCCTTGCTATAACATCATCCGAGTTAGTGTTCAACTCGATGGGGTCGCTAGCATCAAATTGTTTGGTGAGGAACCAGAGTTTGTGGTTCTTCTCGGCTGTGATCGAATCTTATTGTAAGTTTTCATTTGTTGGATCCACTTTTGATGATGACGCAAATCAACCCAGCAATGGTCAAACACGAATGGTTTACCATAAAGAGATTGATATAATTCTTTTACTTCTGTAGTCTACACAAGAGTTAAATTTAGAATAATCAAATATAATTAAACATATATATTCCTCTCTTCAATGCTATGTTGTTTACATAAAAATATATAAGTTAAATATTTACCTAGTCAATAATTCCCATACCAGATCTTTGTCTTCCTTCAGTCTGAGCAACGCACCCGTAGAACTTGTTAACGGACAGTTGAATCGTTGACCAACGATGCATCATTTGGTTTGGTGTGCGGCTCATTGGATCGGTGGAGTATTGGATAAAGTAGTCGTTAGCTCTGTGCCAAAACTTATCTTTGTGTTACCTCGTACCTTGGATGGCGTCTTGGTTTGTGTTCAGCCAAGAAGACACAAGAAGCTTATCCTTGTGGACAGTCCAATTTTCGGACCGGGTATAAGCCTTCTTCTTCTTTATGGTCGGTGTTTCTTGGGATGACACTTGTTGTGTTGCCGATTGCGAGAACTCAAGGGGTGACCTTCTTCTATGATGTCTGTATAGAACGACGGGTATAAGGTCGATCCTTCACCGTTAAGGAGTTGCGAATAGAAGTTCTGGGAGGGATCCACGAGATTTGTAATTTGATAGGAAAATATAGAGTTTTTTTATGAGAGAATTGTGTGGAATAATTTGTGTAATGAATTGAGAATTTATAGAATTTTTTTACTATTCAACGACTAATTTTTTACTGTTCAATGGCTAATTTTTTTACTATTCAGCGGCTAATTTTTAAACTCAACGGCTAATTTTTAAATACCTAATTCTAAACTGGGTTCTGGGTTTTGATATATGGGTTTTTTTGTACAAAACAATTTTACTTTAATACTTGGGAGCTCTGTGGCACGAGCTCCCAAACTTCGTGCCACGCCAGCCCAAAGCAGCTCCTTTGGAGCTTGCTGGAGAGAGTTCAAGAGCTCTTACCCGCACATAGGACTTGAGAGCGGGCGGTGGGAGCTTGATGGACTTGCTCTTAAGTTAAATACTCTTGCTAGCCATTTTGAAATTTGGATGTATATGAGGTAGGCCCTAATATTCGAGAGTTTTCTTGAAATGGCTGAGTCCTCCTTTAATGGAAAATTTCTTTCTTAAGAGTCCCCTACCAAGTCTATCCCCATTACCCAAAACAAAAAATCATTGGCGTGTTTGACAACCAAGAAGTAAATAAAGAGTGGACTCAAAATTAGAAAGTAGTTTTACTTTCTAATTTTTTTCTCGTTTGGCGTTTGGAAAGTGATTGGAAAGTGAAAAGTGTCACATCAACATTTTAGTCTCTTTCATTTTCTCTAAAAATTAGGCATGTTTAGTAAGAGCTTGTTTGGTTCGCACAAAACAGACCTGAAAGTGAAGGAAAACCATCTTTTTCCTATGACACAAGAAAAATTTGTATATTTTCCCTCACAATGTGATGTATGGTTCACCGAAACGAAAATAGAAAGAGGGCCTAAAAGTGGTTGCGACGAGAGATTTTTATTCCCTCCGTTTTCCGCCCCCAGCCTCCCCATTTTGCCCAAAAAACACAAAAAGTGATCTTTGCATACAGGAGGGAAGAGAAAAGGGAGAAAAGATAAGGTTTATAATCACCGCCTCCTCTTTCTCCCGCCTCCTTCTCCTTCTCCCGCGCCAAAGAGGAACCCTCTCCCGCCTCCTACTCCTGCCTCCTCCTCGTTCTCCCGTGCCAAAGAGGAGGCCATGGCATCGATCGGTTCTACAATCCTCCTGCAGTTCGAAGATAGCTCTAGCAACAGCAGCAGCAATTGCTTCCGCAGCAGCAAGAGCAGAGGCAGAGGAATCCTCAGTCATTGCCTTAGAAGGTGTTGCTTGTGAATGGTCTGGTGATCGACGTGGTGCGTGTGGAAGAGGACGAATCGATTCGTCCTCGAAATTGGCGGTGACCTCGTCTTCTAACTCAAATTCGTCGTCTCTTCTGCCGTCGATGCCGCCGACTCCTGCCGGCAACTTGGACCGGTTTATTGTGTCCACAACGCCTGTGGTTCCGGTTCAATACTGTCACAAGGTAAGCTAATTAGAGCTAAGATGGGGGGAAAAGTTGGGTCCTTGAAAATTATTTTGGTAAATTTCGTGTTTTTACTGCACTAGACGAGCGTGAGGAGGTGGAGGAGCTCGGATAATGGGGAATCATGTCCGTACTTCGATCTCAAAGATCTTTGGGAGTCGTTTAAGGAGTGGAGTGTGTATGGAGCTGGAGTGCCTTTGATTTTGAATGGCAATGGCGTCGCAATATATTGTACAGTAGTATGTGCCTTATTTATTTGGGATTCAACTATATATATGTGCATCCTTCAAGTCATGCCTTAAGATCGACGTAATTATTTATTTTGATTTCAGCATTAGTCTAAAATGCAATTTATTTTCATTAAATGTTGAAGTATGATGCCAGTGTTTTAAGTTGGAATTGTTAAAGTTTTGCTTTTTTTTTTCTTTGATCCAATTGCAAAGTTTGCTTGTATATATATGGTTTTGGCTATTGATCATATTGGGCGTTGCTTGTATCTTTTATTACGTGTGTTTTCTGTAAGTTCTGCAAGTGTTATGTGTCACGATACTTAAATGCTGAAGATATATTGGGCTAATCCATGTCACGTTTGAACAATGGTTGCCATGGGAGTGCTTCAATTATGTTAGTGATTCTTCATAGTGCGGGGAGATGGTTTTGCATGATCTTTTTCATGAAAAATATTGATTTAGAGGTTTTACGTAAATACATCCTTCATGGGGGAAGGATACGCTAGTCCTTATTGTGCATTACTATGTTCAGCTTTTTTGATTGCTTTAGGAGTTAAGTTTGAACATGGAAATTTGTTTGTACTCCTGGAGGAAGCTTTGTGGAGGAGCGAGAAGCTTGTTTAATAATCTTAACTCTTAACCGTGTCGAAAAAATAGGGTGATTACAGAGTCCTAGCAGGTACCTTGGTAATTTTCCAAGTAATTAAAATGTTTTGATTGTTGTTCAAGGGACTTATCCTAAACCGTTTGTTCATATGTCAACTGGTTTGTGAGTAGTTAGCTGAAGTTTCTTTTAATATAAAACTTTCAGTGCTAATGAATTTTATTTTTTAGTTCATTCCTTGTACGTTACTATAGAACTTACTATACACAAGGCAGCAATTGCACTTATATTTACCTTTTTTTAGTGCTAATGATTCATCTTTTAGTTCATTTCTTATACCTTATTAAAAGCATACTCTATAAGGAGTTGTCACCAAGCCGATGAGCTTGTTTGAAATCCTTTTTACAACAAGAACAGGGTTCTTTGCAGATTCATCAACAAAAAATTGATATTGAGCATCCATTCATCTTTGTCCAACATTTCCTTGTCAATTACTATATTTCTTATCATTCTATTTGACTGTTCTTTCTAATATGGAATATATGAAGGTTAATGTTTATGTTTGATTTTCCTTTTTTTAGTATATACGAAAGTCAAGTCTTCCAACTCTTATTAAGAAATTCATTTTCTTTTTAGAGGCTAGAATAAGGAAATGGCTGCAAGAAACTCCTGAAGCATCAAGTAATGACGAGCCTGTAGTCTTTGATTCATCAATAATACCCTGGTGGGCATGGATCAAAATATATAATCTTCCTGAAGCTGAACTACTCAATGGTTGGCTTCTGCATCTCATCTTATGTTGATTCTTATTGCATATGATGTGTAAAAATAAGAAATGTGAGAATAGGGGGAAAAAGACTATTATTTCATTTAATGGTTAATTGCACAGGTTGGATCAATACTATGATGATGGTCTCTTTTGTTTTAGTTTTGATCGCAGCCTGGTCTCAGCCTTGGTCACAACCTTGGTTTGGTTTGCGACTTGGATGGCTTTTGTATTGGTCTCAGTTGTGTTGGATATTTGTGCTTGATGTTTGTGTTGGATATTCATTGTTTGGTTGCAGTTGTGTTGGTTATGATCTTGGTTTCAGCCAGTGTTTGGTTATATATGTGTGCTTGGCCTTTGGTTTCAGTCGTGTGTAAGCTGAACTGAATTTCCAGGAATATTCAGTTGTGTACTTACTAGCCAATATTTTGTGTGCCTTAATTTTTATTGTTAATATTTTGTATTATATGGATGGTAATCACACCATGGTGACCACAATCAAGTTTTCTAGATTTTTTTAATTTGAACCAAACACTTAAAAATGAGGGAATCTATTCACACATCAATTGTTTTCTTCTTTTTTCAAGTTTTTCTTCTTTTTTCAAGTTGAACCAAACTAATAAAAGTGGTAGAAAGTATTTTCAGTCCATATTTTTTGGCAAAACAAACACAATAAACAATTTCCATGAAAGTGAAGAAAACACAAAAAAGTGAAGGAAAATGTTTTTTGGAAAATGAAAGAAACGAACCAAACATGCCCTAATTGGAAAGTAAATAGAAAGTAGAAAGTGAAAAGAAAGTATTTTAGAAAGTAAGTACTTTCTATACTTTCTATGTGCAAAATTTGTTTGGATGATAGACAACAGATGTGCGAAAAGTTGAAGTGATAGGTGATGTGGAGCTGATGTGGCAACTAACATGGCATCTATTTACATGAAAATTATTAATTTTTAAGATGGATTAATGGCCTCCTATGATGTAATAATTAATGTATATGATTGCTAGTATATTCTATAATAATGAAAATAATCAACAACTTAGCAATATTTTCTGGCAAAAAATTTCATACCAAAAACTTCAATCTCTCATCTTAACAACGTTAACTTCGATGGCCTTTAAGTAGAACATAACTTTTTTTTTTAAAAGACATGTAGGGTAACCTAACCAGCCAAGTCCTCAACAACACTCTATCTTAAAAATAAAAGGACAAAAGACAGACAAAAAATAAGAGTACAAACAGTCAACCGACTTAGCTAGGGAATGAGCAACATCATTACCAGTGCGCCTTACATAAGAAACTTTAGAGTAGCCAATAATAGTTAGACCAGCGCGAACTTTATCTGCAATAGGAGTCAAGGAAGCAAAATGAGAATGAGAGTCCACCAAGGAGACAACATTTAGAGAGTCAATTTTCACCACTGAAATCCTCCAGTTCATACGCCGAACAAAGTGAATGCCTTCCAGGACAGCTAACAGCTCCACATGATCCATAAACATAGGACCCCTAATCCCCATAGAGTAGTAACCAATCACAAATCTATGGTGATCCTGAATAACACCTCCCAACCCAATAATACCTTCTTCTAGAGGAACAACAACATCTGTGTTGAGTTTTAACAAACCAAGAGCAGGGGGATACCAAGCAGAAGGCCATTTGGAAGGGGTGACAATCTCACGGGAGAGACCTCTAACTCTATCCCCTTCCTCCACAAAACAAAAAATCCGAGTCACCAAGGCCGAGGCATCTCTAACACCACCACCATGAGAGCGTATATTCCTTTCCCCTCATATAAACCACATGGTTGTGAAAGCCAAAGCCAGAGAGTCCCCATGGCAAACAGAGGTGAGATGGAAAAGCAAATCACCACAAGACGTGCCTCGAAAACCATTAATCACTTCCCAAAGATCTAAGGACTCCCACACTAAACGAGCAAAGGAGTAGACAGTGAAGATATGAAGGACGGTCTCAAAGGTAGCAAAGAAAAGGCGGCAACTAGGGGGCACAGAGATCCCCCTACGAGATAAACCAGCTGAGTTGGGGAGAGCATCATAGAACAGACGCCAAAGGAACACTCTAAACTTCGGTGGGATCTCCGCTTGCCAGATCAAGGATCACCACTTCGCTACCCTAGAATCCGAGGTGGAAGCAGTATCAGGCAAAGTGTGGCGAAGAAGTCAATATCCACTCTTGACTGTGTAGCACACTTTCTCCTCATAATGCCAAATGAGTCTGTCAGGGATAGGAGAAGACGACAGTGGAATAAATAAAATATCCTCCCAATCTACCTACCAAAAGGAGGTAGCAATCAGCTCATGATTCTAAGTACCCGAATCAGAGATCAGCTCAGCCTCCCTTCTGAAAGGGTCGATCAGAGAAGTGATTGGCCTGAAAGAAAAGGGCATTAGGATCCATGGGTCAGCACACTCAACTTTTTCAATAAAGGTCTTCAATGATTTTTGAATATTTGGTCAAGATAGATTTTAAGTCTTGTAAAATGTTGTATCTAAATTGGCATAACTATGAGTTGGGTCGAGATTAATTCTCAACTTGTTGACCAGATAAAAAATAAAAAGTAAAAAGCAACTAATTTTAAAATTAGGGTAGAAAAATAACTAAAATTAATTTCTCTTTCTTCTCCCTTCACTTTCCATCCATTTCTTCATTTTCTTGAGAAAGTTAAAAGGGTTAAAATGTTGATGCGGCACTATTCGCTTTTCATTTACTTTTTATTCATTTTCCCAAGTGTTAAACATGAAAAATATAGAAAGTGAAACTATCTTCTAATATTTAATCTACCTTCCATTTACTTTCTGGATGCCAAACTATAGAAAGTGAAGAGAAAGGAGAGAGAAAATATACTTTTAGATTTTTCACATATTATTATAGTTTTAATTAACCACTTTCTATTATTACTTCCCATGATAGCCAAACAGAAAAAGAAGAAACTAACTGCCACATGATTTACAACCTCAACTTCCTCTTATTTTACTTTCTATCACCCAAATAAAAATTTGCAAAATAAAAATTAGGGGTTTTCAAATATTAGTCCCTTAAATCATATGTATTTTGATATTAGTCCCTCAAATCTTCATATTTTGATGCTAGTCCTCCAAATTGTTCTAATGTGTTGATATTGGTCCCTGTAGTTAGCTGCTGTTACAACTTAATGGTATATTCGGTTTTCTTTAACCATTATCATTAATAGACAATTATATCCCTTACTTAACAAATTCAAACCTATAACTAATTAAACCCAAACCCGTTAAGAACCTCCTAACCCATACCCATTTAATAAAACCCAAACCCATTGGACCGCCAACATCCTCTCTTTCTACCGTCTCTCCTCCTCCTGCTCCCTCTTCCCTTCTTCGTTATCCTCTTCCTCCCTTCCTTCCTATGGCAGCTGTACACGATCAGCCACCTCTCATTTCCTTTTTTTCTGTTGCCATCAAACTGTAGACGGTAAAAAATACCTCTGATAAGCCTACAGGAAATTCGCCCCCAAGAAGTCGCCTGCCTAAGCCGCATAGTCGTCAAATGTACTCGATGCTAGGTTCGCCTAAATGATCGGCTCGCCTGCACGAGTTAAGATCGATTAGGATAGCGGAAGTTCGCCTCTTACTCGACTCACCCGCCCGAGTCTAAAGACGAATCCGCCTGCAAACCTCGAGGCCACTAGTACAGCTGGGTATCCGCTACCCCACGTGCTGGGATGGGCCATCCCATCTCTCTCGACCCGAAGGGAGAAGGCACGGCCCCTCCAGACCGTCAAGCGGCCGCCCACAGTACGAAGGCCTGGACAGGTGTCGAGTCAACCTGAGCATTCATAAATACGGCTCACCTCGGTTGTCTGAGTCAAGAGTTGGATCCGCCGGCACGCGGCAGGATGGCTAGACCCACTTGAGTACTGTGCACCTACTTCGCCGCCTCTCCTGACCGGAAAGGAGAAAGCACCGTGCTCAAAGCACGCCGGGCGGTCACGCACAGTACGAGTGATCGGACAGACACCTCATCAATCTGCGAACTCATAAATGCGGTTCATTAATGCTGGTCAAGTCCACTCGGATAGCAGACGGCCGTTGCCTCATATACAAGGATGGGCCTTCCCATTTTAGGTGACAGGACATAAAGCACAATCCCTCGAATGACCATTCATGGTATCGAGGAGCAGCTAGACGTCTCTGAAGAAGATATGGTCACATCCCATAATTCAAGGATGAGTCAAGCTGTCCTTCTTCCATTTAAAGCCCCTTCCAGCACACTGGAGGGGAGGTCGCAAAACTTAGAGAAAAATAGTTGAGACCAAGCTGTTAGCAGATTCTTGCATTACAGCACCACTGCCTAGTTCTGAGCTCCGATCGCCGGCGAACTAAGCAGACCCGAACTCCATCGATTCGAGCTTCTACTGCGAACTGAAGCTCTCCAGCAACCTCATTCAAACGGTCCAAGGGAAGCAGACTCGACCCGAGCATCGAGCGAAGCGTCCTATAGCCACCTAAAGTCCCCACAAAAAACAAAGAGGGCATTCCCTCTGCTTCTGTTGTAACCATTTGATTATTAGTTTGTAATAAGCTTTCTTATTAATACAAACGAACACTCCCTGTTTTCGGGAAATCAAACTTTCACCCTACAAGTATATAAGAAAATAGAGTTAGTACATATAAGTGTAAAATTATTCATATGACTCTAAATGGAGATTGACATTTAGAAATCCATAATATGAGAATTAGTACGTCGAGCGAAATAATCCAAATAAGGAAACCCTCATGTATATATCATGTCTCAAATTGCGAATCCCTAAATATCAATTCCAACTCTATGAGTGAAAACAATACTCAAAAAAATACTCCAAACCTCAACTGTATAGAACCAATGTCACATCTTGAAATACCCTCGAGTAGTCAGCACAATAATAAAAGAACATTACCTAACTCATAATCACCATGGGCCATATCATATATGGCATATATCAAAGGATGTACACTACTCATGGGTAATCTAACATAGGAGCAAAACTACAACTATAAGTATATATATATATATATATA